GTCGACAGTGACATCAGAGTGTGGAAGAGGATCCTCCAGCCCCAAATGACTGCAGCTCCAGCTGACATCCTGACTGCCAACTTCATCATAACAAGACCCCAAGTCATGCCCATCCAGCTAAGCTGCGTCCTGACCTTCAGAAACTATGTGAGATAATGTTTGTTTGTTTTTAAGTCGCTAAGTTTTGGGGTAATGTGTTACACTCTAATAATGAGTACAGCCATGAACACCATGGTTTCTTCTTGCTTAGGAAGGACGCCAACAGCCCCTGTCCTGAATCTAGATGACCTGACCTAATGTGCCCTTTTGGCAACTGGCTTTGTCACAAAAGCCTTAAAGGAAGGGTTTTGATAGACCCTAGTTTCTCCACAGTGCCACACGCTAGCCAAAGGAGACTGAAGCAAAGTGACTGCATCCCATGGCCATTTCTATCATGAAGGATCCAGTGCTGGCCTGGAGAAAGAGGCTTGGCCTCCAAACTCCTATGAGACCATTGGAAAGGTTCATAATTTTTCTAGACCTTTGTTTGTTTCTTTGTAACACTGCGATAATACTACCCTCCTATGTGGTTAAAATGGGTAGAGTAGACATAAAAGGACTATGTAAAAAGGAGCTGAACCTACTACACAACTCCTAGACAATAACATCACCACCACCCTCCACTTAGAGATGGACTATAAGGTTTTGGGTTTTATATCCTCGTTCTTGATTCCAAACATGAGGTCACTGGGGGGAGACTTGAAGACTCTATACCACAAGGTGCAAACACAAATATTCCCTGAGGCCAGGTGGGCAGCATACCGTTGTAAGGTTAGAGAAGGTGGCAGCAAGGAGGAGTGGGGGATGTTAGAGAGACAGTCAACTGGAGAGTTTGTGCCCTCCCTATGAGAAAGGTTTAAACATTGTTAAGGGCCAAGCAAACCAAGTCTGCCTACTGAAATCGAGCCACCAAACGCTAAGTTGTAACCAAGCCCTGCCCAGCACCATAAACAACAGAAGGCTAAGGGTATATGTTGATCTAGCAATACACATATCTACAGAGAGCATCGATATATAGATCCATATATAGACACTGGAGGATTTAGGCCTCACCATATCCTTCGCAGGTGCTGGAAAGTTCTGTAAATAGGTCTTCATCACACATCGATTCGTTCAATCTAGAAACATTTATGGAGTACCCACTATAAGCTACATGCTAAACCTGTTGTACCAAATTTTTTACCTTAAATCCTTGTATTTTGTACCTTTCCAAGTTTGGGTTGTCTGTATCAGTACTATAGTGGCAGGTTAACACAGATTCTCTATTTTAAGAAATGAGTGAGTTCCAGTCCCACATCCACAAATAAAGAATTATTATAATAATAACAGCATATTCATGGAAAGCAAATTACGTAACTTGGCGTTTAACATGCTTGTAACTATTCCTGTACTTTTAATGTCAACAGAAAAAAAGTAACATCTAAGTCTGGCTGATATGGTAAATTAACATTAATAACAGTTTTGACACTAATAGCAAGTTTTAAAAAGAAAAGCCTCCAGTATCTTAGCTGGGTTTCATTTCTTAAAAATCACCTCAGCTCACTGTCACCAAATTCCCCTAGTACAATTCCAGCTACTATTCCACCTTCACTGGGAGCCTGAAACGGCTAGAGTCTGTCAAGTTGCTATGTAAATGATATCCTTTCCCACCTTTGCTCACTGCAGGTGGAGGAAACATCCTCCCGCTTGAGGTACAATACCAGCTTCTCGGCAGAGACACATTTCTGAATCCCTGCAAGCAAATGAATGCCTACATGGTTTCATTTTTTAAAAACCACTAGAGCCTGAAAATTAGTTGTGAAAAATGTTAAAGTACACACTAGATTAATGAGAAATTTCAGACTCGTTACAGAGACCACGGAATCCCAGAGAACAGGGTCTGCGCTTTATCTCCATGTCCTTCCCTAGTACCATGCCCATACAAGCACATTAATCAATGTCCCATGAATTAAAGTGCACTGAGCTGAAACCCAGGGAAAACGAAAAGGAGCCCAACGCTTAGCTCCTCCACTCTTACAAGCTCTTTCTAGAAGTCATCAAGGGCTCAAGCAGCCCCTTGCAAACCCTCCACCCTTCTGAGACTCAGCCAACAAGACATGGTTGGCCTATGACAGCTGCCTCTATGATCACTTAGAGACTGCTAGGCTGTAAGCAAAGCATCGCTTCTAACTTCTCAAACATTGTTCCTTCTTCTTTGAGTGTTTTACTTTATAATGAACCAGCTCAAATGAGCAGAGAGTCAGCAGTGACAACCCATCAATAAAATAAAGCCAAAGTGAATTTTGTTAGAGAACTTCTCACGTCATAATGGGAAATCTAGGCTACTTAAAATCGGGCAAATCAAATGGAATCGTTCCTTTTGGTTGTAAAAGGAAAGTTAGTTAGCTTTAAAACTATCACTTTCCAGATATCCCATGCCCTTGGATTGGAAAAATGAATATTGTTAAAACGGCCATACTACCCAAAGCAATCTACAGATTTAATGTGATCCCCATCAACTTACCCGTGACATTTTTCACAGAACTAAAACAATCCTAAAATTTATGTGGAACCATAAGAGACCTAGAATGCCCAAAGGAATCCTGAAGAAAAAGAACCAAGCAGGAGGCATCACCCTCCCAGACTTCAGACAATACTACAAAGGCTACAGTAATCAAAACAGGGTGGTACTGGCACAAAAAAAGACCTATGGATCAATGGAACACAATAGAGAGTCCAGAAATAAACCCACACACGTACAGTCAATTGATCTTCGACAAAGGAGGCAAGAATATACAATGGAGAAAAGACAGTCTCTTCAGCCAGTGGTGGTGGGAAGTTGGACAGCACGTGTAAATCCATGAAATTAGCACACACCCTCTGACCATACACAAAAATAAACTCAAAATGGCTTAAAGACTTAACACACAAGGCATGACCCCATAAAACTCCTAGAAGAGATCATAGGCAAAACATTCTCTGACATAAATTGTACCAATGTTTGCTTGGGTCAGTCTGCCAAGGCAATAGAAATAAAAACAAAAACAAATGAGACCTAATTAAGCTTGCGAGCTTTTGCACAGCAGACGAAACCATAAACAAAATGAAAAGACAGCCTACAAAATGGGAGAAAATATGTGCAAACAATGTGACCAACAAGGGCTTAATTTCCAAAATACACAAACATCTCATACAACTCAATAACAAAAAACAAACAATCCAATCCATAAACGGGCAGAAGACCGAAGTAGACATTTCTCCAAAAAAGACATACAGATGACCAAGAGGCACATGAAAAGATGCTCAACATCGCTAATTATTAGAGAAATGCAAATCAAAGCTACGATGAGGTAGCACCTCACACCAGAGTGGCCATCATCAAAAATTCTATAAATAACAAATGCTAGAGAGGGTGTGGAGAAAAAGGAACCCTCCTACACTATTGGTGGGAATGTAAGTTGGTGCAGCCACTGTGGAAAACAGTATGGAGGGTCCTCAGAGAACTAAAAATAGAACTACCATATGACCCAGCAATCCCACTCCTGGGCACATATCCAGACAAAACTCCTCTAATTCAAAAAGATACATGCACCCCAATGGTCAGAGCAGCACTATGCATAATAGCCAAGCCATGGAAACAACTTAAATGTCCACTGACAGATGAATGGGTAAAGAAGATGCGGTATATGTATACAGTGGAATACTACGCAGCCACAAAAGGAACAAAACAATGCCATTTGTAGCAACATGGATGCGACTAGAGATTATCATACTAAGTGAAGTAAATCAGAAAGACAAATACCATATGACATCACTTATATGTGGAATCTAAAATATGACACAAACGAACCTATCTGTGAAACAAACAAAATTACAGACACAGAGAACAGACTGGTGGTTACCAAGGCGGGGGTGTTGGGGGAGGGATGGAGTGGGAGGTTGGGGTTAGCAGATGTAGGCGTTTATATATAGGATGGATGAACAACAAGGTTCTGTTGTATAGCACAGAGAACTATATTCAGTATCCTATGACAAACCATAATGGAAAAGAATATTAAAAATAAATGTATATATATGTACAACTGAATCACTTTGCTGTACAGCAGTAATTAACATGGCATTGTAAATCAACTATACTCTTCAATTTTAAGAAACTATCTTTTTCAGAGAACCCTCATTAACTCTGCTAATACTGGTTATTTACTCTGGAAGTGCATGCACAATAGAAATACCAGTGGAGTAGAAGGTGGTTTCCAGAATTTTCTTTTCCCTTTCCATAATTTTCACTCAGAACTCCATATAGAATTTAGGCAAGAGACCCTGTCTACATTTTCTGTCTTAGTTCTAAGATTCAGATCATGGCCTCAGTCCCTCAAGACCTTTATGCCTATCCCAGCACATACATACCATGGGGAAAAAAAGGGGGCAAATCAGGGCATGATAAGTACAGAGACAGTCCTACCTCTTCTTTCTCTCTTCGAACCAATGAAAGAGGAGTTCCTGACAACCAATAGGCGATTAAGGCAGCTACATTTCTTTTGCATCCTCCTCCTCTGGTTGACCCAGGAGGCACCAGTTCCATGATGCCACTGACCCACTTACAAGTGGGTCAAGTTCCATGATGCCACTGACCCACTTCACCCTTACCCCCAAGCTGTGCATCATCCAACTGGGAGACTGGGATGAGCTACGGAACCAACCTCTGCGGTAACGGACATTCAGTGACTACCAAATGGCTCCAAACTCTGGATAAGAAACAGAAATAGAGACCAGAGCTGGCTTTGGGCACTACTGGGTGCCATATTGAGAGGAAAAGCAGAAACTAAATAAGGAAGTGACATAGACTTGAAGTCATTCGGGCTGATGCCCAAAGTGGAGGTCACATATTGGACTGAGATAAGGGAACCCTTGAGGAGTTCCTCGGAAAGGAGGATAAACTGAAAACACCCATTACTGCAGGGCCAAGTGAAATAATTACATACCCATGCTCCATCAGGCCCAAACAGTTCTAGGAAGTTGCCAATGAATTCCCTCGATTTCTCTTCCCACTTTTGAATTAGATCATGACTCTTTTCTTCCACTCTGTTAACAAATTCCTTTGATTTTTCCTCCACGTTTTTGACCTTTTCCTTCATCTTGTCTACCTGGTTTTGGAAGCGGTACTTCTTTTCCTGGTCCAAAATCAAAGGAGAAAGAAATGGATTTACCCAAGAGGGCATGGGAGAGATCAGTCATTCACAGAATGGTCATATTTTATTTCAACTCATGTGTGTTCATAACCTGAAGAGTCAGGATGCTATTTCCCAAGGGCTGGATTGACAGGAAGGCCCTCTCGTAAGAAAAGTCACTTCTCATTAGTCTACTTGAATGCGTACAGTGAAATACAAGTGGCTTTAATGTTCTCTTTCTTGTAAATATTGGAGTTGAATTCACTTATATAAGAACCAAAAGTATACATTAGCTCTTTACTATGGAGAGATACTGAGTGAATACAGCCCCTCAATTCTCCTGAGACTTAGACAAAAATATGAATTGTACATAGAATGGCCACTCAGAAGCTACCTGAGCCCCCTATTTTACTGGGACGTTGTTAAAACCAATATTGGTTGAAATATTGGCTGGGCCTCAGAACCCGTGTGTTATACTCAAATTGTCACTGTCATGATATTTGCCATTAAGCTAATGGAACTGCATCAGTTTCCTTGGGAACGAAGGAAGATTTTGTTCTGATAGCTTCTCTGGACTGGGATTTTGTCCATAGCCTTTATGTAGTATTGCTATACCTATGTGCCCGGAAGGCACATATGTTGGGCAAGTCACGTGTCATCTCTAAACCTCAGTTTTCTCATCTGTAAAATAGGGATAATTATCGTCCCTACCCTACAGGGGTGCTGTAACAATTAGATAAGATGATGCATGTAAAGTGCTTGGCACAAAGCCTGGCATTTAGTAGAAGCTTCAGTGTGTGTTGGCTCTTTGATTACTATTAGGCCGCAGAGGCATTTAATCATGTTACCTGGTGAGAATGGAATCAAAACCGTGAAAATAAGATGAAACAAAGGCTCTTTTCCTCCATGCAATCATAATACATTTTCTCCTGGAGAGGTAATAAGGTTTATCACTTTTCTTCACTATATGGAACTGAAGTCTATTTCATATTTCAGAATTTTTTGAGCCAGGTACGATATTACAAAACTGGGTCAGGATTTCCTGATCTAGACTTTACAAACCTTGCTGCAGCCTCAGGTTGGGGTGTGAGCTACCTGTGCTGCCAGCCGGCTATACATAGTAAGTGGTTACTGTCTATATGCAGCTCTCAGGAGCAGCACGGAATACTAGAATGAGCACTGGACCACGAGCCAAAAGGCTGGGAGGCCGGCTGCTGCCTCCACCTCTGCTTTGCTTGAAGGACTTTAGCCACATCCCTCTCTGAGCTCAGCTTTCCTCACTTCTAAATTCAGGGACTTGGACTGGGCGACAGGTTCCTGCCACCTCTGAGGTTCTGTGATTCATCTACACGCCCATCCAACACATTTGATTTTCTCTCTGAGCCGCAGCCAGGTTTGTTGTCACAGAAAAGCAACGGGCTCATCCGCACTGACTACACGGTTCCCTGAGCTAAGTGGCTTATCCACAGGCCGTTGAGAGGGCGTGAGCAATAACTTTTGGAAACGGCTCCACATGCTTGGATGGGTTACTGAATTCAATTTCAAACAACAGACAGTTTAATTTATTGAAATAACCAGGGCTTTATGCTCTATAAGATACCAAATAACCACTTTGACGGAATTCTTTTCAGCCACTTGTTCTGGCGCCACTTGAACCCGACATTTTCCATTTTGTTGCCCAGTTTGTACGAAGCCACAGAGCCTGGACTCCCAACACTCCCTGCCTCGTGAGGACAACTCATAATGACTGACTTCTGATTCCTGAACCCTTCCTCATTCGGAGGCACGGATGATCGATTTGTGTAAGCTGCTGGATAACTGTGGCTGCACATACATATAAGCATCTAGTTTTGTAGAAAAATCGCTCTTGGACACTATCTGTTTCGGGGGGTGGAAATTCTGTATGTACGGAGAGTTATTTTACTCAACTCCATGAGCGCCTCGGAGTCCAGGCCAATACAGTCATCCAGACTCACGAGCATCACCTCCAGCAACTGGGCTGCCCTCTTTGCTTTTTAACAGCTTGTTTTAAACATTGTTTTAACAGTTGCTCTATTATTAAACTAACAGCAGCTCTGTGGGAACAAAACAGCGGAAATACAAAAGGAAGCCAGAGACTTTGAGCTTTATTTAAGCAGCTGTAATTTCTCTGGACAAAAAAAAAAAAAAAAAAAAAAAAAGCGGCTGTTAAGGTCTCTAATGAGCATCTGTAAGGCCTTAATAAAATGAAAGTTGTAAAATGTTAAAACAAGAAAGCATTTCCTCTGGGTTTAGCTTTTCACTGCCTCTGCCCTCCTCCTTCCTTCCCTTTGAGCAGAAGACAACTCTTGCCTTTTGTGAGGGCAGATCTCCAGGAAACCCAAGTCTGAGAACTCTAAAGGGGGAGGTTGGGGTGAAGAGAGGGAGGCGAGGCAGCTCCTTTAGAAAATGTGAAGCTCACTCGCTACCTGTGGGCCTTGGTCAACTTATTTTACCCCTCTGGACACTGGTTTCTCCATCTATAAAACGGGGATAATAATACATCACTGGGCTGTTACACGGATTGGATGAGACAAATGTCAAACATCAAGAATACCACGTGGCGTAGAGTAAGTGATTAACAGACAGTGTTAGCAGTAGTGTGACGTGCTGGACCTCAGAGGGTACGTGGTGGCACACTTACATTTATAAAGCTGACATTCAGTTCCTTGGCTGTGTACCCTCTCTGGAGATTGCGTCGGGCATAAACATCATAGTCGCGGACAATCCTGGTGATGATGTCTGATGTTGAGATGCCTTCCGTTCTCTGCGTTGGAACAAACATTCCTGTTCCAATAGGAAAGACAGAATAAAGAAAAACAACTAGGGTGGCCCCGGGTGACCCCTTTTCTTGAATGGCCCTCCTTTCCAGGACAAAGTGGCAGCTCTTAGGTGTGTCAGTGAGGCTTTCACATCTGGCCCCAGCTGACTCTGCCAGGCTCAGTTCCGGACACTCCCCCCCTGCCATAAACACTGTGTGTTCGTCATCCTAGACCTATTCCCTGGATGCACCAGGCGCTCACCCGTCTCCCGACATTTGCTCATGCCAAGCCCTTCTTTTCTGCCCCAGATCCCCGTTCCCTGCCCACAGCATCTGCAGAGTTGCTCCTCGTCCTACAGGGCCCGGGTTCAAGGCTATGCCTCTGCGAAGTCTTTCCTGACATCACCAGGCAGAAACCACAGCACTTAGAATATAAACTTGATTTCCATTAACAAAAGTATTTTAGATATCCGTCTCCTTGTAGAAACGGAACATTCTGAAAGCACAGGTTGTGCCCTGATCATCTTTGCAATCCCAGCACCCAGCTCAGTGCCCTGGTGTCTAGCACATGGCAAGCGCTCAATAAATGCCAATTAAATGAATAAGTGAATGGAGAATAACAACCGAGTCAATGAATTAGATCACAGCAACTCCCCTTCTTCCCCTGGGAGTTCTGCGTCACGTTACAGTGAAGGATAAGAAAAAGGGTGGACTATTTTTGTTGTCTCTGATTGAAAGACATGCCCAGGGGCTGCTAGATGATTTTATCCCTCTAAGAACAATCTACTCTGAATGGTGGTTTCACCACTCAAAGGCCGTTTCATCTAGACTCTGTGGGACTGAGTAAAAACAAACAAGCACAGAGGATGCCAATTTTTCATAGAACTTCCCTAAAGTCCTCAAAGATATATTTGGGGGTACCAATACAGGGCCATAAAGAAGTCACAAATGTTATGAAAGACAAGAATCTGGTGAAATCAAAGATGACACAAATAGATGCAAAGATACACCATGTTCTTGGATTGGAAGAATCAAATTGTTAAAATGACTACACTACCCCAGGCAATCCACAGATTCAATGCAATGCCTATCAAATTACCAATGGCGTTTTTCACAGAGCTAGAACAAAAAACAATTTTTAATTTGTATGGAGACATAAAAGACCTTGCATAGCCAAAGCAATCTTGAGAAAGAAAAATGGAGCTGGAGGAATCAGGCTCCCTGACCTCAGACTATGCTACACAGCTACAGTCATCAAAATAGTATGGTACTGGCACAAAAACAGAAACACGGATCAATGGAACAGGATAGAAAGCCCAGAAATAAACCCACGCACCTATGGTCAATTAATCTAGGACAAAGGAGGCAAGACTATACAATGGAGGAAAGACAGTCTCTTCAGTAAATGGTGCTGGGGAAATTGGACAGCTACATGTAAAAGAATGAAATTAGAACATCCTTTAACACCATACACAAAAATAAACTCAAAATGGATTAAAGACCTAAATGTAAGACTGGATACTATAAAACTCTTAGAGGAAAACAGAGGCAGAACACTCTTTGACGTAAATCGCAGCAATATCTTTTTCAATCTCCTAGAGCAATGGAAATCAAACACAAATAAATGGGACCTAATGAAACTCAAAAGCTTGTGCACAGCAAAGGAAACCATAGACAAAATGAAAAGACAACCCACAGAATAGGAGAAAATATTTGCTAACAATGTGACTGACAAGAGACTAGTCTCCAAGATTTACAAACAGCTCGTGTGGCTCAATATCAAAAAAACAAACAACTCAATCAGAAAATGGGCAGGAGACGTAAATAGACATCTCTCCAAAGAAGATATACAGGTGGCCAAGAGACATATGAAAAAGATGCTCAACATCACTAATGATTAGAGAAATGCAAATCAGAACTACAATGAGATATCACCTCACACCAGTCAGAATGGCCATCATCAAAAAGTCTACCAACAGGGAGTTCCCTGGTGGCCAAGTGGTTAGGATTCTGGGCTTTCACTTCCATGGCCCAGGTTTACTCCCTGGTCAGGGAACTGAGTTCCTGCAAGCCGTGCAGTATGGCCAAAAGTAAATAAATAAATAAAACACGCTCCTCTTTAACAACAACAACAACAACAAGTCTACAAACAGTAAATGCTGGAGAGGGTGTGGAGAAAAGGGAACCTCCTACACTGTTGGTGTCAGTATAAATTGGTATAGCCACTGTGGAGAACAGTATGGAGGTTCCTTAAAAAAACTAAAAATACAGTTCCCACATGATTCAGCAATCCCACTCCTGGGCATATATCTGGAGAAAACCATGGTTCCAAAGGATACATGCACCCCAATGTTCACTGCAGCACTGTTTACAAGAACCAAGACATGGAAGCAACCCAAATGTCCATGGACAGATGAATGGATAAAGGAGATGCGGTACATATATACAATGGAATATTACTCAGCCATCAAAAAGAATGAAATAATGCCATGTGCAGCAACATGGATGGACCTGGAGATTATCATACTAAGTGAAGTAAGACAAAGACAAATATCATATCGCTTATATGCAGAATCTTAAAAAAATGATACAAATGAACTTATTTACAAAACAGAAATAGACTCACAGACTTAGAGAATGAACTTATGGTTACCAGAGGGAGGGATAGATTGGGAGACTGAGATTGACATATACACACTGCTATATTTAAAATAATCAGCAAGGACCTACTGTACAGCACAGGGAACTCTACTCAATATTCTGTAATAACCTAAATGGAAAAAGAACTTGAAAAAGAATAGATACATGTGTATGTATAACTGAATCACTCTGCTGTACACTTGAAACTAACAACATTGTTAAGCAACTATACTCCAATATAAAATTAAAATTTTGAAAAGAATCTGGTTTATGCTTGCACTTCTGTTGTCAACTGAAATGATGTGTTGGCAATTGAGATCTTTCTGTCTAATATGATAATGGTCACTCAGTCAGAGATATCAGGCATGAGACAGCATGATGGACAGAGCCTAGGGACAAGGGTGCTGGGTCCTCCGTTTGTACACTTGGGCAAGTCAGTCGAGCCTCAGAAGGCAAGTTACTTAACCTCAGCCTCTGAAGCTGAGAAATGAGGTGACTGCACAAGATGACCTTGGCCTCATCTGTGCCATTTCCCTCTCCCTCACTCCTTACCTCCAATCAATCATTTCCTTCTACTCACCAATCTACTTCCTAAATGTCTCCCTGGTTTGCCCACTTTTCTCCATCCTCCATCTAAACCAATCCAACCCCATCTTGTTCAAAGATTACAGCAAAACCAGTCTCCAGGGATGTCGCTTTTCTCTCCCCTCAATCTGCTCTCCACGTAGCAAGAGCCACAGAGCAGTCTTTCAAACTATAAGTCAGATACCTGCTCAACATCCTTCATTGGCTTTCTACTGTCTTTTGTATTTGGATTCAAATCCTTAACTTGACTCTGAGACAGTTTGCCTTCTCTCTTCCCTGTGCTTCTCTCCAGTCTCATCTCAGACCCACGTTCCCCCTTCACTCCCTAAGCCAAGGTCCCTGTGCTACGCAGATGCAGCGGGCGCTGTGCTACGCAGATGCAGCGGGCGCTCTTATTGTTTTCCGTGGAGCTGAGCAACAGGCTGGCCCTGCCTTGGCCCAGCGGCCCGGGACTCGAGTGTCCTCCAAGGGCTGCCCCCTCCCCTCACTCTGCCACATACACTCCACCTGGTTAACTCCCGGCCATGCACTGGGGTTCACCTTCAGCGTCACTTCCTCAAGGAAATCTCTCAAACCCCAGACTGCGTCTTCCTGCTTATAATTCTCGCCCATGGTCCACTGCTCTCTTCCTTCAAATATTCCCAGACAGCTTGTTCCATAACTGCCTTTCCCACCTGACTATCAGCTGCCCGAGGGAAGGGAGCGCTCCTGCCTTCTTCTCGTCTGTATCCTCAGCACTGGGTGACAAGCAGGCACCAGGAATATTTGTTGAATGAGTGACTAGATGAACACTGATGTCTAAGTGCCTTTCCAAATCCAGTTCTCTCTGATGCTATGGACAGTGGTGAATTTGTCAGCCTTCTAGCCCCAACCAGGGCGTCCCTTTGGAGCTTTCCTTCGCCACCATCTGCACATTGATAGTATCAGCAGCAGGGTGGCCCCGCTGTCACAGACAAAGCATCCAGTTTCTAATACACTGTGGCTCAGAGGGCAGAGTTGGGCTTGGCCCCGAGGTCAGAAACTTAGCACCTTCTAAGAAAGCAGACTCAAACAGAAAACTAAGTAGAAGGTAGAGGGTGCCGACATATAAAGGCATGGATATAAATAGCACCCAACTGTGCACGGGGCTCTAGTGGGCAAAGATCCCTGAGAGGTCCCAAGCCAGGGGGCCTGAGACAGCAGCCTCACCTTGGTGAGGGCAGCAGGGAGCTTCCTGGTGAGGAGGATATCCCGTCTTTCGGTAGGCAGGCATTTCACTCACAACCACTGCCGGCTGAAATGTTAAGGAGATTCTCTAGCCACTAACTGATTTTAGCAAGTCACTCAGACACTGGTGACATGAGCTCACCGTCTCTTTGAAGCCACAGGGTGAAGCCTCTGTGGCTGAGTATAACTGAAAGTTGGGGCTGGGGAGGGATTTGCTTTGGCTGGTTTGGGAGGTAGGTCTCTGAAAGAAGCCAAGCCCTCTGCTGACATAATGAGGCACCCAGCTTCCTCCAAATCCTAATTATTGCTCTGCTAAAAATATTCAGTAATGAGCATGATCAAAGAACCTTTCTCATCATGCTTTTCAGAACTGCGGCATTTGGTTATGGAACTATTTTAAGAAGCAGCAAAGCACATGTTAATGAAGGAAACTTTCAACAGTAGTAGGCAATATTAGAATGATGATGAGCAATGTGGACCTTCCAGTCCACTTCATTTAAGCTCCATCTTTTCATCCAGCTTTGCTGGAGAATTTTGACATGTAGCTCTGACAAGCAGAGCAGAGGGCTGTAAAGTTTAATTCACGCCCTCGATA